TAGGATATGTCACCATTTGTAATACACCACAGCATTTTTATGTGAGCAAAAATATTGGAACATATGACTGCCAGGTGTTACTTATTGACCAGGTGTTGCCTTTAAGGTTGATTGTTCAAACATTAAATATGTCTGCATGACTATTCCACTTTTTGGCCCGGGTTTAAAACTATAAAGTAGTCTTTTCTTGTTAAAAAAGATAAACCAACATGAAGACCAGAGAGCTGTCTATGGGAGAAAATCAAGACATTTTGAAGCTGAGAAAATAAGGAAAATCAATCAGTCATTGGACAAACATTGGGCATAGCAAGCACAACGATTTGAAATGTCTTGAATAAGAAAGAAACTACTGGTGTACTGAGCAAGAGACGTCCAACAGGTCAGCCAAGGAAAACAACAATAGTTGATGACAGAAATATTGAGAGCTGTGAAGAAAAACCAAGTGACGTCACCAACAACCTCCACAGTTCAGGGGTGAAGGTATCACAGTCCAATGTTCCAAGAAGACTCAGAGAGCAGAAATATAGAGGCCATACCCAAAGATGCAAACCAGTCATCAGTAATAGTAATCAGAAGGCCATAGTGAAATTTATAAAGAAGTACAGAGATGAGCCATAGAAGTTCTGGAAGACAATCTTATGGAATGATGAGACCAAGATTAGTCTTTACTAAAATGATGGACAGGCCTAAGTGTGGCGAAAGAAAGCAGCTGCTTATGATCTGAAGCACACAAGCTCATCTGTGAAGCATGGTGCAGGAAATGTCATGATGATGGTCACAGCAAAATGAATGCCAAAGTGTACAGAAATATATTGTCTGCCAATTTACGGAGAAATGCATCCAAACTAATCGGAAGGAATTTTATCATGTAGCAGGAAAATGACCCACAGCAGCAAAACAAAGGACTTCATCAGGGGGAAAGTGGAAGGTTTTAGATTGTCCAAGTCAATCACCTGACCAGAACCCAATAGAGCATTTCACCTCCTGAAGGGAGAAACCCCCTGAAACAAAGAAGAACTGAAAGAAGCTATGGTAAAAGCCTGGAACAGCATCACAAATGAAGAATGCAACAGTTTGGGGATGTCGATGGGTCACAGGCTTGAGGCAGTCATTGCAAGCAAGGGTTATGCCACCAAATATTAAATGTTATTTACGTTAAGATAACTTATTCCAATACTTTTGCTCACCTAAAAATGCTGTGGTGTATTACAAACGGTAATATATCCTAAGTTATTTGCCACATCTACATGCAAATACCAGGAAATAAAAGCTGACATTCTGAACGCTTGTCTCATGCTCATCTTTTGATTTTAAACCCAAATGACTTCAGTGTACAACAAACAAGGGTATTCAAATTGCTGTTCCAATACTTTTGGAGGGGACTGTATGTAGTCTTTACAAAGCCAAGTGTTTCGCAAGTAGACAGTTATGTCTATAAAATGTGTTTGAGGAAAATTCAAGAGCCACTGGGCCCYTTTAAAAAAAACCTGGTACTAATTTGTCTTTGTGATAGATTGGATCTCTTTCAATAGTGTCTTTTTAATTAAGGAGTGACGGTAAATTGAAACCATTATCACTTCTCTTCTAATATATTGGGAAAACCCTCAGTAGCATTTTGGATCGGCTGAAGATTTCAGGGAGCTACTTGATAATTAGAAATGACAATAATCTGTCTTCAAAGAGCAGATGAACATATTAGTTTTGCTTCATAACTCTGACACAGGATATTTAATTTTGGAAAAGTAATCTGGGTAAAATAAGGCAGTGCTAGAGATGTTGATGTGGAATAAATATCATTTTTAGAATGATCATTTTAACTCTTAATTTTTAAAGCTTTAAACACGTCTGTTTAACTTGTTGGTACCATCTGGTCTATGTCATCTGCATAATGTATTTTATTCTGTAGCGTAACAATCAATCCTAATGAAATTAATAGAAAATTGAAGGTTGTTGCAAAGCAGGCACTCATATCTAACGTTGGTGTGTGTCATTGTTTTTGTCAAGAAAGAGGAATTCCTAGTATAAACCTACTAGCTTAGTGTGTTCCTTTAGTCACATTATGTTCATACCTCTAAAATAAAATGTTTTGATCTGTACCAAACAATATTACGATGAGTTCTAACGCACTGGGATTTTGTTCGAGAGTTTTTGATTGGCGAGTGTGCATGCTTTTTTTTTTTTTTTTTGTTAGGATGGCGAGTGTGCATGCTAATGTTGCTTCATATCTTTTCTGCTGAGCTGCTCGAGTCTTTCCAGAGATGTTTCTTTATCCTGTTCATTTTATAGTGACTGTTCTGCATTTTCAACTATTTTGCAGCTGCAGTGCAAGAAGCAATGGGTGGTGTATAATTGTGGGCTTAATTGCTTTAACTGCCCTGTGAAAGATTAGAGGCATGCTTGTTGAGACCTGCACTCTTTTGCTTTTGCAACTCAGAGTACTGGTTTTGGTTCGGTTCATTCGGTTTATTTGCTTTAACAGATTTTTTTCTATAAACCCTGCATAAGTCTTAACTCTTCATTTGGACCAAGGCTTCAAATGATAAAATTGACTTGCACTGTCAAGTAATCTTGACACTTTGAGGCCAAAACTTGAAAGCATTTACATTATTCTTAAAAAAGAGGTATTACAAATGAAATAGTAATATACATAATAATGTACATTGGTAGTTCTGCATCAGTTTCTGATGCTGTCTGACAAATTGAAGTGAGCTCTTCATTAGTCTTGGAACTAATTTGTTCCAAAAGCAGCACAAAAAAACGTGATGAATTCAGCACCTATACAATGTTGTTGTAACGTGTTGTAACAGTGCAAATTAAAATGCATTACTTGCAATTTTAAAAAGTTAAGACTGTACAGTTGTTTCAGTCATGTTTAAATTGGCTTTTAAATTTCTTTTGAACATCCCAACTTCCCACTGTTAACTAAGTTCAGTCAATTCCAATGCACTGGTTAAGTGATTGCTAAAATGATGATACTGTTATCAGCTTCAGCTACACTTTTTGTTAATTACTAATTAGAAAATAACTTGGTTACATGTTAAACAAAGTTGATGAGAAGTAGCATWTGTGTAAAGGTTTTGCAGAGCCAAAAATCTCCTGAGTGTCTAAATATTTGCCATCTTTAGATGTTTTGTCTGCAAGAAATAATGGTTACATTTCCGTTTATCCAAACAAAAGTTAAAAAGTTACAGTCACATATTTAGACTCCAGTAGACAAGAACAACTATATTTATCTGTATGTTTCAGCTCTCCAGACTGCACATTAATTTAGAATGGCATTAGTTGAAAGTTAAGGGGTCTGCCTTTAGTTTATTTGTTCCACTGATTCGGTATGACTTGTGACAGCTTTTCGCTGTTTTCTGGAATGAGAAAAGTCTGAATCATTCTGCAAAGAGGGCTTTCCCTTCAACAGAGCCCTTGGTCTGATCAAATCGAGCGATGGTCCACTGCAGCTTGTGCAGAGCTGTCCCATGCTCTTCTTCTGGCCCTCTCACCTTCCTGTTGGTTCTCATCCATCTGTTTGCTCTCTCCCAGTCCAAAGAAAGCATCAATTAAATTCCTTCTAAAGATGAGAATGGGACATGACAGCTACAAACTGGAGCAAACCAATGTTCTTCTAAAGCCCACTCCCCACCCAGGCCTTTCATTTCCACGCCTGTTCCTATCTGTCTCATATCGTCAGCAGGAGAAGCCGTGAGCGCTGCTCTGAGGCAGAGAGCAGTTTTTGTTTACTGATGCACACTACACTGATGTGAGCTGATTTCATCAGGCAACACTTTTGGATGCCGTCTTTCTCTGCCTCCCTTCTTATTTGTCTGTCTTTAGCTGCTAATGTAACTGCTCCGACAGGCCAGACTGCGTGACAGTCAGCAGAGCTTCTAATATCTGGGTGTATTACAATAAAATGTTCTGTTAATTAAAAAATATTTTCATCTCATGCTTTTTCCCTGGCGGCTGCTACCATTTTTATTGATTATTTTCTATCTGATTAATTCAATTGTCGGCTTCAATTAAACAAAGCTATCAAATTGTCCGCTGAAGGATTATTTCCACTCTACTTGGGGAAGGAAATGTTCACTCAAGACAATAATTTATTTTCTTCTCACTTTCCTAAAGCGGTGGTTATTTTAGATTTGTAATCAGCAGACCAAAGCATGTGATTAGTTAATAGTCTGATCTCAGTGGGGGTTGCTTTGCAGCAAACTGGTTGCACTGTGCCTCTGTCCATCGTATGGTGGTTGGATTTCCTCTCACCACAAAGAGCAGCAATTATAACAAATGGATGAGTTCAAACCATCTGTAAGACATTTGATTAACGCTACAGAGACCCTGATGGCCAAAAGAGTTCATGATTGTTCTTGATGTGGAATTGAAGTAACAACAGTGCCTGAGAAGTAGCCACGCTCCAGGAAAGACATTACAGAAAGAGAAATTAGAACCCCAGAGAGACAGATGAGGTTTGTAGCGAGCAACTCCGGGTGGTCTCTGCATCCATCTCACACATGATTTGATTGGTGCTCCTAGTCATCAGCTCAGCGTCATGATGCAGTTGTTAAAGCTAATGTTGCATGAAACAAAACAGATGTTTCTTCTGGTGTCTTTCCTGCTCATTTTTCTCTCATTCATTGTTTTTAGAGCGAAGACTTCATTTGCTCATGTATCATACTCAAAGTAGGTTTTGTCGCTCAATCTTAAACGTTTCAAATATCATCAATCAATCATTTTTGTACTCTAGAAGTTTTCAATGGATTTGGTAAATTTTCTGTTGCACTGACAACTGACATTGTTGAAGCAGCATAGTAGCAGTGGCAGCTTCAGTACTCCTCTTCTAACTACAAACAATAATTTGAGCTGCAGTACTGAGCATAGTGGRCTTTGTGTTTTGTGGGAGAGCATTTTCAGGTCATAACAACTCTTAGCTAATTTATCTGACATGGAATTTGATGTTGTGGTCAAAATGTGCTAAAATAACATTACAAACCTGTCTTTGTTTATGAAAGGACACAGCTCTGGATCCAGGTGAAGATGTGGCACTTCTCTCAGTGAGCTTTGAAGARGCTGAAGCTACCCAAGTCTTCCCTAAACTTTACCTCTCTCCCAGCATTGAGCAGTAAGTAGAAAAAAAKCTCACATTGCAATTTTCTTTTCTTGCCCTGTGATCTATATCGTGATATGGAAAACATCAGTTGAGCAGTTCATCAAAGTTTTTGAAGGGTGGGGATCAGAGAGGAGCAGTAGTGCCACCACCTACCATTAAAATGTTTGAWATTTTATTTGTGGCAGCTTTTAGATTTATATTACTTTATTATAAAAATATGGTCACCCACCACACTAACAATAACCTTCTCTTGTGCTAAAGTTCAGTAAACGAGCCAAATGAAACTGTGTGCTGTCATGGGGCCCTTTTCACTCATTTCAATGCGCTCGTTGATCGTTGCAATTGGCCATTAATGTACCATCCATGGGGGACCCCTTCAGCTCGAAGGGCTAGGCAAATGCCTTTCCTCACCAAATTGTGACGGCTCGAGATAGTGGAATGCTAAGTTGCTAATGCTACGTCCCAGCCACTTATCTTGTCACAATCTCTGCTGGTGCACTGGCTCTAAATAAACAAACAATGCTTAGCCTGGCATGGGTGCAAGTAAAGACTGGTGGGCCACAAGGTCTAAAATACAGTAGAGGAAGCCCTTCTTATGYTTTAGTCCCTTGGTTTGATAACACTTTGATTTAATTTGCCTCCTACATTGCAGGAACTGCAGTTTTGCGCGCACATACTTTATGATGATAATGATAATGCCCAAAAATATATTGTTCGGCTCTAGTCTAGTTATTGTCTATATGCTTATTTGGGGACTATTATTGTTAGAAAATGCATTAAGATTGGCTTTCTGAACAAATAGTTTTACCTCAAATTTATTTGAGCACCAATAATCCAGATGAAATGCATCCTACTGAGTTCTAGGATGGGTTCCATATTTTATGGCTACAGAAAAAGAAGACATTTTATTTAAAGTAGGCTCAAAGTAACAAATTAATAGCTGTGTACATGGTTAAAAGGGTGAATGATTAGAAATGTTTTTTTATTGTTTATCTGATGTTATTTTACAATGGCTGTGTGCAGTCAAACAATTTTCAAAAAGCATTCAGAATCAGTTTTATTATTGCCAACGTCAGTGAACAGGATTAACAGACTAGGAATTTGTTTCGGTGTAAAGGTGCAAATGAGTACAAAATATAAGAAATAAAGAAAATACGAAGGATAAAAGGAAAAAAATTAGAATAAAATTTAGAAAACATATGTACACCAATTCAATACAGTACTCAGAGAAGACAATATTGTTGGAGTAGTGCAAATATATCCAATGATGAAGTGACCAGAACACGCAACCACAAACTGAATTTGTTCTGAAATCTTTCCTGACACGCTAAGTGTCAGAGTCTGTGTGTATTTAATTTTAATGTGACGCTATATATATATATATATATATAG